GGTTTATTGTGAGAGAAAAACACTGTTGGCTGGCTGATAAGCCCTGGCTGAAACCAACAAATGAACAGGCCGAATATATGAATTTGGAGTTTTGCTCAAAGAATAATTGCTTGCAAGACTACACCATCTAATTCTAAATTGTCAGCAAACTGCTCTTTAAAAAGTGACCAACCAAGGATAAATTTCATTAAAGGCCCGATTCGTTTCTTTGGGAGCGAGGCCGGGGAAGAATTCGGCCAGAATCATTACTTTAATTAATTTATATAAGCACCATCAATTTGGATTGCTTCTGGCGTCAAAACAACTTAACCGAACGAGCCCTAAGAGTTAAGAACAAAATAGGAACAAATTGAAGAGAACTCAGAAACCTCGGCGTAGCTAGGTGTATGATCACACCTCCCACCAAAGCAACAAGTTAAGTTAGGCTCATTTCCTTTTACTACTCCTTAAACAATTGGATGAATAGCATCGTCCCAAATTTTCTTCTCAACATGTATATTCTCAATCATCTATCCACACTCTAGCTTCCATTTCCTTTCATGGCGAGCACGAGATGGTAACTAGTGGCTACCTCTCAAGCTATAAATGGACGCGTGTCGATAAAGAGTCGCGCGTCGCCGACGACCTGTTAGCTAATCGTGTCGTGCCATGCCTGCCCATAGGCTAAGCCATCGACCCAGGCATGACCCTACTAGGGTTTAGCTGGGCCGACGACACGCTTGGCCCGTCATGACTGAGATGCATCCTCACTATGTTGGTATGCCTATGATTCACCGAGCTATCGTCACACCCATGGTTGACCACGCCGTCGTCGCTCACGCAAACATGTGTCAGCGTTGATGTGTCTCCTTCGTGGACATTGGTCGAGGACGCCCCCAGCGCAGCCATGTCATGAAGACGAGGTGGGGCCAAGGTCGCTGCCTCCTCCGCGCGCGTCAGCTCCTCCTGTTGGTTGTGGATTGTGTTTGATGGTTGGAACAGTAGAGAAGGTGAAGGGCTAAATAAAGAGAGAGGGATTGAAGGTAGCGTTAGATAGAGTTTTATCAGAGTTTTATTTGTATTTAATAAGCTATCACCTAGGCATTTTCGATGACATGTCAACATTTTTAAGAAGAAAAGAAATGGCTTTCATAGTTGGCACAATTACCAACTTTCTTTGAGTCATGAAATTAATGTCTATAAAACCAAAGAATGAAATTTCCATTGAGAAGGGATGTTTGGTCTATGTTTTAGTTTATTTTATATAATATGACAGTCTTATAAAACAATACTCTAGTGAGAGACGGGCCTTACTTGAGCTAACAACGTTCTGAAACTCACTGACCTTAGGCTGTCTCCAACAGCTGATCCATTAGAGGAGACCCAAACGTAAAATGGGCCTCCGACAGTACTGTACCAGCCTCTAACAGAGTACCTATAGAGGAGACCAATTTTCGGTGCTAGAAGAGGCACAACCTAAATTTGAGTATCCTGTCTCCTGTGGAGACCCATTTACAGAAAGGGTTCTCTTTTGGGTCTTATTATTGGAGAAGACAAAAAATATGTATTAAAACTTTAACGTGAAATAGGTCTTCTATTTTGGGTTCGTCGGTCTTACTTGAGCTAGCGAGGCATCCCACGAAAGTACGTTGGGGAGTGAACCCATCCCACGGGTGCGCTCGCGCGCACCCGCTGTCGAAAACAAAAAATTCCCCTGCTGGCAACACGAAAAACCCCCCAGACGATTCTACCCAAATCGCTCGGGGGCTCAGGGGCTACACCCCTGGGTGCGCTCGCGCGCACCCGCTGTCAAGATAAAAATCCCCCAGACAATTCTACCCGAATCGCACGGGGGCTCCTATCGGGTTCATAAACCCGGGGTCCCTCATGGACCTGCTTCCCAGCAAAAGATCGGCCTAGCAGGCGACATTGCGAACGACGCTCAACTCCTAGGTCGGACCAAAAACCTAACGACAGGCTAGAAGGGCGATCCAATATCCGACCGGAAGGCCTGACCAAGGAGGAATGCGCGCCCGCTTCCGACTTCGGCCCCCCTCTCCGACCAGAAGGCCTGGCCAGGAAGGAACGGCGCCCGCTTTCGACTTCGGCCCGCCTCTCCGACCGGAAGGCCTGGCCAGGAAGGAACGAAGCTCGCTTCCCACTCCGGCCCGCCTCTCCGACCGGAAGGCCTGGCCAAGGAGGAACGGCGCTCGCCTCCGACTCTAGCCCGCCTCTCCGACCGAAAGGCCCCGCTTCCGACTCCAGCCCACCTCTCCGACCGGAAGGCCTAGCCGAGGAGGAACATCGCTCACTTCTGACTCTGGCCCGCCTCTCCAACCCAAAGGCCTGGCCAAAGAGGAGCGGCGCTCGCTTCCAACTCCGACCCGCTTCTCCGACCGGAAGGCCTGGCCAACGCTGCTTCCGACTCTGACCCGCGTCTCCGACCGGGGATGCACCGAACCTCTGTTTACAGCTCTTCTCCGACTGGCGCAGTTGGAGCCGACTGGGACCAACCGACCGGGGACGCCCGCTCGGTGAGGACGCAGGAAATGGACGGAGCAAGTAAGGCGGAGCGCTCAAGTCAACCGCAATACCAATGACCGTACCCTGTGCACCTACAGGACAGTACTGACAGGGCATGTCAGAAGGGTGCCATGCCACCTTCCAGGCATGTCAGAACCCAAGTAGTGTTGTGGGCGCCGACGTTTGCCCTACAGTGTTGTGGGCGCCATCAATTCCCATACCAGGCGAACACGATAAAACCCCCCACATACCTCTGGGCATCAACAGTGTTGTGGGTGCCGTCATTTGCCATACATGGTGAATGCGGTAAAACCTCCCACATGCGTCTGGCATAAAACAGTGTTGTGGGCGTCTACAATCATCTTGTACCCGACAGCATGGGCAACAAGACTTAGTAGACGTACTCTCTCTCGCTAGCTTGTAAGGTCGTCCTCTTCATCTATAAAAGGGGATGCACTCTCTCCCAAACATCCCGGACGACCAAGGATACCAACGATCAATTCACCCTATGCTAGCTTTAGACACTCTAAAGCTACACAGAGCACACGCTCGAACACTTAGCGCACGTAGGAGCTCCCGTCACTCTCGGCCCTTCAGTCCGGAGTTCGACCGGACCTCTTGCACCCCCATCTTTCTCCCTCTCGTTTGTTACCCCACAGCAAACTTAGAGCACCTGGGCTCAGGAATAAAGTCACCGACCGACTCAAACTGGACGTAGGGCACGTTGCCTGAACCAGTATAAACCCTGTGTCATTGAGTGCTAGGCCACATCCGATCACAACGTACGACAAAACTACAAATATTTACGTGTTGGTCACTTTCTGCACCGACAATATGACAGTCTTATAAAACAATACTCTAGTGAGAGACTGGCCTTACTTGAGCTAACAACGTTCTGAAACTCACTGACCTTAGACTGTCTCCAACAACTGATCCATTAGAGGAGACCCAAACGCAAAATGGGTCTCCGACAGTACTGTATCGGTCTCCAACAGAGTACCTATAGAGGATACCATTTTTCGGTGCTAGGAGAGGCACAACCTAAATTTGAGTATTATGTCTCCTGTGGAGACCCATTTGCAGAAAGGGTTCTCTTTTGAGTCTTATTGTTGGAGAAGACAAAAAATAAGTATTAAAATCTTTACCTGTAGCGTTATACCTAAACGTGAAATAGATCTTCTATTTTGGATTCGTTGGAGATTGTCTTACTTGAGCTAGCGAGGCATCCCACGAAAGTACGTTGGGGAGTGAACCCATCCCACGAACCCCGGTACCGGGAGTGACTTTTTTTTAAGAAACAACCGGATGCTCTATAGCAATTCTGTTTTTTAAAAATAAATTTAATTCAGAATTGCTATAAGTCAGCCGATTGATTTAGCCCCCTGCGACATGCGATTTTGTGGCCGCCAGATCAGGAATCGCATGGTCGCGGTGCTCCGTCAGTTGGTCACGCGAGACGGGCTGCCTGTCCCCACCACATGCTCATGCTCCAGCGTTCTAGGTCCCGGTCGTCCAGAATACACGCACGTACGTCTGTGGTTGGTCCGTGTACGCCCACGTCTTCGCCCGTGTATAGCTCCAGCGGAATACACGTAGTATGTACCGTGTACGCCCAGTCTAAATGTATATTGAGAGAATTCCTTATTTGACACTGGGAAAATAAGTCATTCCTTTCTTGGGCCTGAAATTTTCTTCGTTCCCTATTTGACACTCACTTCAACTTTCATCCTTAATTTGACACTACCGTCAAATCCGTTAGCTAACGGTGTTAACTAAATTATTAAAAAGACATTTTGCCCCTAGAAAAAAGCGGTGAAGCAAATTTGAGAGGAAAAAAACTGCGCTTTTTTTTTGTAATTTGGGCGTATGCATCGAGGCGGCGCATGTTTTTTTTCTCTCAAATTTGCTTTCGCGCTTTTTTTTCTAGGGCAAAACGTCTTTTTTTTAATGACCCGATTAACACCGCTAGCTAACGGATTTGACGGTAATGTCAAATTAGGGATGAAAGTTGAAGTGAGTGTTAAATAGGGAACGAAAAAAATTTCAGGGTCAAGAAAGGAACGACTCATTTCCCAATATCAAATAAGGAATTCTCTCATGTATATTTATATTTTTTTCTGAAATTTGTGAATAATTTATGAACAATTTGATGATATTTGTGAATAATTTGATATATATTTTTTTCTAATATCTGGAATCCATGGAAATAATTTGTAAATTTTTCTGAAAAATTTGGCATATATCTGTGTTATTCTCAAATTACACCACTATGTCTAATAAATTATAATGAATAAGTCATTGTAAATATAGTAATAAGTTAATGTAAATATAGATAAAAACAGTGTAAGCGTATGGGAAAAATTCAGTTGATAGCAGGAGCCAAAAACAACTTAATGTACTCCTACGTCACTGCACATTGAAGGGTCCTGTGGCAGCACCATTTCACACACTTCAGTAATCGTCAGTTGTGACTTGAGAGACGAAGCGCTTCATCTGGCATGGCCATCACTGAGACGGCAGCACGGAAGCTCCTGCATGGCGGCGCCGCTGGCACCATCGCCCAAGGCGTCGCCGACGTGGGCGGCATCAGCTTCGGCCTGTGGGAGATGATGACCAGCTTCTTCGCCGATATCCTCGCCTACCTCTTCGCTGCTCTCGCGGGCGCAGCCCACCTGCTCGTCCTGCCACTGGAGGTGCTCTGGTAGTCGCTCGTCACTGTCGTCACCGCCGTCGCGGGCGCCGTCGCCTCCGGCCTCGACAGCACGTCACGGGCTTCTTCGCCCACATCTTCGCGGCCATCGCCGGCGTGGCGCACCTCTTGGTCCTGCCGCTAGAGACGATCTGGCAGTGGCTCGCTACCAGCATGGCCGACGCCGCGGGCGCCATCGCTTGCGGCCTCGACGGCCTGTGGCAGCACGTCGCTGGCTTCTTCGTCCACATCTTCGCGGCCATCGCCGGCTCCGCCCAAATGTTGGTCCTGCCGCTAGAGACGCTCTGGCAGTGGCTCGCTACCAGCATGACCGACGCCGCGGGCGCCGTCAGCTCCGGCGTCGACGGCCTGTGGCAGCTCGTTGCGGGCTTCCTCCCCGGAGCCTGGGCTGCCGTGGCGAGCGCAGCCCACCAGATCCCGCAGAAGCTGGCGGAGCTGTGGCGGTGGCTACAGGCCGCGGCCCCCGTCGCGCTCCCGTACGTGCTCGGCGTAGCTGCGGTCGTGCTCGTCGCGGCGCTCGTCTGGTTCTGCTGGCCGACCCTCTTGGGAGCTAGCGTGGGGGTCGGCCAGGCACTCGTGACCGCCGCCTGCCACTTCGTGCAGGGTCTGCTGTACGTTGGCAGCGCCGTTCAGTCGGTGTTCGTCTTCCTCCTGCCTCCCTGCACGCAGTGCCTGGCCGTGGTCACCATGAAGGCCCCCGGCGGCACCGGCAGGCTGATATCGCGCGCGGCCTTCGAGGCAGCTCCGGCGCTCTACTTCGCGATCCTGCATGCCGCTCCACCCATCGTGGCCGCCACCGTCTTCTGCACGGAAAGAGTGGCCTTGCTCGTCGCTGCCCCGGTCGCTGCTCTTTTCGGTGCTTCAGTCGGCGCGCGGTGAACTGGTGAAGCATGCAAGTAAAAGTGAGGGAAACAGATCCTACGATACGAGACATTGTCTCATGCATGTTACTGCTCTAGACCTATGAATGTGTCACTAACCTTTGTTAAGTGACTAATAAAACTCGAGGAATTCTCTCTTGCATTATTTGTTGTGTGCTAATGTAATGGTTCATTTCTCATTCGGGAAGGCTTACTGTTGCTTCAGTGCTCTTGAGCCGGTGAAGTAAAAATACTTGATCTATTGGCTCGGTTTACTTTACAATGAGAGAGATTGAGAGAACTAGGTCCTGTTGTGAACGAGTCCGCTTCTGCAATTGATCTGGCTGGCTCTTAGCTATCGGAAACGTGGAACATGGCGAGAACGTTGTTCCCGGAACATCTACGTCCCTAATTCAGGAACATTTACGTTCCCACATTATAAAATAACACCTCGAGTTTCTATTTCCATTTCATATTTTCGTTCTCTCGCGGGAACATGGCGGTTAAGGACCGGCTACCGTTCAGATTGAGAGAACTAGCTCTTGTGAACGAGTCGGCTTCTGCATTTGATCCGGCCGGCTACCGTTCTCTTGTCTTTTCATTGTGCACTCATCAGCTCATTAACTTTGCCATTATCTTTGCGTAGTTGGAGCAGTAGCTGTAGCACTCGCCTCGGGACCGTACGTGCCTATGCTAAGCACGCGGAGGCGGGCGCGCGGGGCCTCTTCTTCGGAGCGGGCCAGCAGCCGCCTGGGCCTGACCGTCGATTTGCCGCTGCAGGCCTGCAGCCTACAAATACATGACCTCTCTCCGCCGTCTGTCTGTCCACCACAGTCCACACCAACACCGCCCTACTTGCGTTGCATACTTGCATTGAATCTTCCGTATAGTGATTCATCAGCCAAAGAAAATTGTCGGGTGCTATTGTCACGCAAGTGGTTGCCTCGGTGTAGCCACAAAGGCATAGACACACACACACTAGTTCCCATCTCTCGATCGCCCACCATGGCTTTCCCCGGGACTGCGGCGAGGAAGCTCCTACCAGGCGGCTTCACCGCAGCGCGAACCACCGTCGCCGGCGGGGCTCTCAGCTTCGACCTCGACGGCGGCGCCGGCGACTACTTCTCGGGCCTGTGGCAGCTCGTCAAGGCGAAGGCCGCCGAGGTCGTGGCCTACATCGCCGCCCTCTTCGCGGCGCTGGCGGAGAAGGCGGACGAGGTCTTCCCAACGGAGACCCGCTCGGAGACGCTCCGGCAGTGGCTGCACGTGCTCGTCACCGTGGTGGTCCCGGCCGTGCTGTGCTTCCTCGTGCTCCGCTGCTGCTGGCGCTGCTGCTGCGCCGGCCGCGGGGCGCGCGGTGGACGCCGCTCTATGGCTGCGCCGGGCCGCGGCGGCGCGCGCATGCCGCGGGGCGTGTTCGAGAACAACCCCCGGGGTTACTTCCGCGACCTCCGCGACGGGAATCCCCTCGTGTACTAGCGTACGTGCATTCGAGGATGAATACGCCTGTGTACGTACGGCTGTACGAGTACGTACGAGATCGAGAGTGTCTGTGTGTGTGATGTCATGCATGGTTTTTTTTTTTTTTGCGAGCAATGCATGGTTGTATGTGATGTGAAACGAACCGTATCTATGATCAGTTGTGTACGTACGAGACTGCTGTAATGATGTCGTAGTAGTTTTATCACTTTATGTATTGTGTGCGTTTGGTCCTACTACTACATTGTATTGTACGTGCACGGTGTACCGCCCTCATGGGCAGATCTATATACACCATATAAGGTGCAGGTGCACCCAAAAAATATCAAAGAACGGTGATTATGATAAAATTTTTACCGTATACACACCTATACGATAAAATCATATGCACCTTGAGGTAAGCGCACCCTCTATGGCTCCGCCCCTGACCGGCCTTTTGTGCTTCTTTTCCCTTGACGATGCAACACTGTACGTACAAGTTGGATCAGACTACTACGCGTGGTGCTCACTTGCTTTGATGTGGATTCGTAACTAAAGCGAGCGTCCGTACGCTAAAGCAGAGCTGTTCGATCAATTGTGCTTTGCCGATAATGGGTTCCCAAAGGCCAAAGGAAGCTGGATGGCAAGATGGGCCATCACCCATCAGGATGAGCCAATTGGGGCGAGTTGCTTCGGCGTCCTCGCGGCCGGCCCCAGCCACCGGCTCGGCCAACTTTTTTTGTTTTTTTAGCCTTTTTTAATTTTTCACAAATATATCTCTAGAGGTATGATTTTAAAATCTAGACTTTTAGCTCGGCGCCATCGTTGGTGATGTCGAGCTTACACGTCTCGGCGCCATAGATTTTGGTGTCTAGCTCTTGGGCTCGACGCAAACTAGGCGGTGACTTAGATCCTGACGCCGAGCTTGGCGCCGTAGATCTTGGCGCCGTAGATTCTGGCGCCGAGCTTGACACCGTAGATAATGGCGCCAAGATCTACGGCGCCGAAGTGGTGTTTTAACCCGGCCCCCAACCTTACTGCCCGAGCCTTCTTCCTCTTCTTTCTCCTCCCTCTCAGGTTTTTTCTCTCCCCACTTCGCCATACCTCACGAATCGACATATTGGACCTTGGAAACTTTGAGTTGATCCATAGATCTTCAAGAGCAAGGTATCCTCGCTCCCCTCCTAGTTTTTTTCGCATCGATTCGGTATATATTAGTCGTATTTTTCAACCTAAGAATCGTCATTACTTAGGGTTTCATGCAATTTTTAATATTTGTATTATACAACCGTAGGATGCCAAGACGTGAAAAGCTAGCAAACCAAGATAACCTCAGCGCATGTTGTTATATTATGGGTTTATTGTTGTGCATCAAATGGGAAACGCTAGGTTTAGGGTTTAATGTTAATTGCTTTCGGTTCTTAGAACGAAATTGGTTGAATTATAGTTATGGTTGGATGACCGAAAATGCCTTCGACCTATTGCCTCAGCCTAGTGGTGTTCCAGTGCCCATGTGCTTGAGCGGCGATCCTTGTAAGGTAGCCAAGTCCGATGAAGAGGACACGTATAGGCAGATGTATTGGATGTGTTCTAATTTTGCGTTTGAGTCTACACTTCGTCAGCGCCGCATTAACAAGATGGTGATGAATTAATGTTTGTGTCATATGACATCTTGCATGATTTTTTTATTTTGTAACAATTGCATTTTTTGTAGACCCCTCCACCGCTCTGTGATTTTGAGCAGTGGATCGACACTGAAATCAAGCCTAAAGACAAAGAATGGATGCAGAAACTGTTGCGGTGGGAGGCAGAGGACAAGGAGATGATGGAGAAGAGACGCGGAGAGGAGGCTGCAAAAAAGGAGCACAAGGAAGTGGAGAAAAGGAGGTGTGTTGCTGCGTATAGGGAGGAGAGGGAGAAGAAGCTTGAGCGTGCACGCCGAGCGAAAGCAGCGATGGAGGAGAATCTCGATGCCCTGAGAAAGGAAAAGTGGTATCGTTACACTCAGTAGTCTCCATTACTTGCTAGTTCTATAGTTTATTCAAGAACAATGTTGTCTACTGTCGGCACGTACTTCTAGTATTATTGTGTTGTTTAATGTGGCATAGTATTGGACTTTTCATTATTTAGTTGTTTTCATTATTCATGGTCATAATATTCAGTATAATATTGTGGACGTAGTGAAATATGATCACGTGCTACAAACAAAACCTAACGGAGTAGGGCATTATATAATTCAACACACAAAATACATTAAATGGTATGTGAGAACATGTACCGAACTAGGGTACAAAGTTCCTTTGGCTAAACCTAACATGCCTCAGTTAATTAAACCAAACAACAAAAACATGGATGTGCCATGTGAATAAGATAGGGTCGTACTAGTAGTGTGGCCACATAGCAAATTGTGTTGCACCTTCTCTACAGTAGCCTCCCGTTGTTGTTGGTGGTGGCGGCGGAGGTGACGGCGGAGGCCCCTTGTTCTTGTGGTTAGGGCAGGTGCAATATGGATTATTGCACAGTGCCTCCTGTGAATCGGCACCATTGTTGTTGTCGTCCTGTGAATCGGCACCATTGTTGTTGTCGTCCTGTTCATCGTCCTTGTAACCGCTACTAACTTCTCTTTCTAGATCGAAGATACGGTCCTGCAGGTAGTAGGTGTACTCCGCATGCAGATAAATAGGTCGAGGATCGACCCACCTAGTGAACCCACAGTTTTCTTCGGCTAAGGAAGACTGCAATAAGTATGTCATGTAAATTGTATGGAAGAGGAACATATTGAAGAAACAAATAGTAATAGCAATTACCCATGCTCGCAGGCATTTGAAGAAACGACGACCTCCATCTATTCCCTCGGTGAACATCTGCACTAGGCAGTCCGCACCATGTGTCGGGTTCATAAACCTGGGGTCCCTAATGGACATGCTTCCCAGCAAAAGCTCGGCCCAGCAGACGACATTGCGAACGACACGCAACTCTTGGGCCGGCCCAAAAAACCTAACGACAGGACATAAGGGCGATCTAGTCTCCGACCGGAAGGCACTTTTGACTCCGGCCCGCCTCTCCGACTGGAAGGCCTAGCCAAGAAAAGGGCAACGCTCGCTTCTGACTCCGGCCCGCCTCTCCAACCGGAAGGCCTAGCCCAAGAGGAACGGCGCTCGCTTCCGACTTCAGCCCACCTCTCCGTCCGAAAGGACTGGCCCAGGAGGAACGACGCTCACTTTCGACTCCGGCCCGCTTCTCTGACCGGAAGGCCTGGCCAAACTCCGCTTCTGACTCCAACCCACGTCTCCGACCGGGGATGCACTGAACCTCTACTTATAGCTCTTCTCCGACTGGCGCAGTCGGAGCCGACTGGGACCAACCGACCGGGGATGACCGCTCGGTTAGGACCCAGGAAATGGACGGAACAAGGCAGGGCGCTCAAGTCAACCGCAATACTAAGAACCGTACCCTGTACACCTACAGGACAGTACCGACAAAACATGTCAAAGGGGTGCCCTGCAACCTTTCTGGCATGTCAAAACCCAAGCAGTGTTGTGGGCACCAACATTTGCTCTACAGTGTTGTGGGCGCCATCAATTCCCCTACCAAGCGAACACGGTAAAACCCCCCACATGCCTCTGGGCATCAACAGTGTTGTGGGCACCGTCATTTGCCATACATGGTGAATACGGTGAAACCTCCCACATGCGTCCGACATCAATAGTGTTGCGGGCGCCTACAATCATCTTATACCCGACAGCGTGGGCAACAAGATTTAGTAGCATACGTACACACACACACTCCCTCTCTCACTTGTAAGACTGTCCACTTCATCTATAAAAGGGGATGCACTCTCTCCCAATAAGGCATGATTCAGACGATTCGAACAACCATCGATTGATTCACTCTCTACTAGCTTTAGACACTCTAAAGCTACACAGAGCACACGCACAAATACTTAGCGCACGTAGGAGCTCCCATCACTCTCGACCCTTCAGTCCGGACTTCGACCGGACCTCTTGCACCCCCCATCTTTCTCCCTCTTGTTTGTAACCCCACAACAAACTTCGAGCACCTAGGCTCAGGAATAAAGTCATCGACCGACTCAGATTGGACATAGGGCACGTTGCCTGAACCAGTATAAACCCTGTGTCATTGAGTGCTAGGCCACATCCGATCACAATATATGGCAAAACTATAAATATTTACTTGTTGGTCATTTTTCGCATCGACAGTTGGCGCCGTCCGTGGGGAAGACGTCGTACGTTTACGCTTTTGGTCATCGGATGGCCCACCTTTCCACCATCTTTGGCACGACGGGCTCAAGCGATATGACTCACTTCGGCTCGCTAGAGTTTCCCACGCTCCCACCCATTGGGATGTGGGTTCCTCCCATCTTCAAACCATCCCAGGCCTTCCTCTTTGGGAGCTTGGACTTCACGAGAAGGCACTTATTCTAGCGCTCGTCGGAGGGGCACCCTCCATCGACACCGGGACACCCGACGACTTCAATGACGAGGCGCCTATGCTTCGCTCTGAGCCCACGCTGGGCTCAAACCTCGTTGTGAGTAACATACATACTATTATTTACTCGCTATTTACTATCTTCCACCGATTCTCCGGAGGGACCCCGCTGTCCCTGCCACGACCGCCATGCAACCGGTTCCCCTATGGCCTCGTGTCCCCCATGGATACGTACGCTCGAGGGCTCCGAAGGATGCTGGCATCGCCCCCTCTCACATCCGAATTCATGGGGATGGCGAGCTATGTTACCACCTCTTTTCACAAGCTCCAGGATGACAACGTTGAGAGCGATGGCTCCAGCATCGGTGATGTTGTGGTGCCTAGCCACCCACTGTCGCAGGAATGTGCTATGGCGGACGCCCCGGGACAGCCGCCGATGGTAGCGGAGTCTCTACAGACCCACACCCCTCTGGACCATCGCGTGGGGGCCCTCACGTGTGCTCAGGAGCACGGCAAGGAGCTACGACAAAGGCGGCAGAACCAGCCGCCACCTACACCGGTGCACTCGGCAC